GTCACACACACACACACACACACACACACACTCTCTCTCTCTCTAAAAACAGCTTCCAGCCCTGGCCCTCTCTCTGCACCCTGCTACGAGTTTCATGTCATCTTGTCATCATTTTGCACTTTTTCGCTAGCTTCCCGTAAAGGGCTAGGGTTTACTTAATTCTTGCCATTAGCACCTGACAATGGATATTTACTGCTGAATTTATCATGTGCGTACCAGCAGCAGTTCAAGAGGACATTTTGTTTGTTTTCTGCTGTATTTAGGGACCCTTTTTTTTGTTTTTCTTGTACCCTGTTAGGGTTTTGTGTGTGCCCGCGTGATGTCGTCGACGACGGCGAAAGTGTGCTTCAATTACTTCTGCAAGGAGGCGTCGGATAAGTGGGGGAGAGGCTGGCGCCGCCTGACCGGCGAGTACGCTCAACTTTGTGATCGCTGCACGTGAGAACGTTTGCCCTTCCCTTTTTTGTTCCTTTTGTTGAGATGATGATTTTATGGTTTTTATCTGCAGTAGTTGGGATTTTTATTTTATTTTTTTTTCGTTTTTCATATGTGGAGTGGGAAAAAGAGGACAACATTTGGTGCCTTTTATAACTTTTGTTTAAGTGGAGCTTGAGCTTGGTGTATCTTTTGGTTGTAACTTGTGACTTCATTTTTGAGATTTCAATTTTGGTTTACACTTGGCTGAGTAGTCTATGTTATGAGTTGCCAGCTATTGGGTTTAGAATTCACCTGCAATTTGGTTGCAGTATGGTTTATCCTCTTAAAGTGTACTTGGGGTGTGATATGTGAGTCTGAGACTCGAGGAGGAATTTCGTTAGTGAAGGGATCTTGGAGCAGGAATTTTATTTCTATTGATCAGATTATCGAGTTGCCATCTAGGGTCTAGATATGCAATTTTTTGTGTCCATTACCGGGAATTTACAATAAATGTCGTCATGCTTGTGCGAGATTTAATATATCATTGATTCTTGGAGATGCCAAATAGTTATGGGTTCAATAGAATTGCGGCAATGACCTGAAAGGTGAAACAAAAACATTTAGAGTTGCCGATCTTCTGAAGTTTGGTGGTGGGGTTGAAACTGTAAGAAACGGGGAAAACGGGCACGGTCCAGCGCACGTGAAGCGCACCATGACAGGGTGAACCTTGATGGACCATAGTGAGGTTCCATCCCAAAACCAATTGGTTGATGGGAGGAGTAGTCCACTAGCTTTATAAGTTAGGTCTATTTTCCCTGTATAAAGGACAACTCACAAGTGATATTCTAACAAAAACCATGCAGTTGAGTGAAAGCAAGCGGTTCAAAAAATAATGATTGGCATAGGACTTCTATACATTTGGAAGTTAACTTAGAAATTCTGGACTTGTTTTAACCGTTCTTTTCTTTCTTTCAAACTAATTTAATTTAATGCGAATGTAGTTCTGTCTACGAGGAAGGAAAGTTTTGCGAGACCTTCCACTTGAATGCTGCTGGGTGGAGATGCTGTGAATCTTGCGGAAAGGTAATGTAGGCTTACTCTCAAATAAGTGATTCCATGTGTTTGGTGTTAATCTTTCTTATTCAATATAAAGAACATGATCAAGTACGTAATTCTTTCTGCAGCAAATACATTGTGGATGTATAGTTTCATTCCATATGTTCGTACTATTAGATGCGGGAGGAATTCAATGTTTGACATGTGCAAAAAAAAGCTACATATTGGTAAGATGGTACCCTTTTTCTTATTCATGCCTCATGTACCTTGAGGTGCTCTCCCATCTTTCCTTTTGCTTTATTTTTTATGTTCCAAAATGTCTTGGAATAGATGGTGAACTACTAAAAGATTGTCACATGTAAAATTCACCTATAGTATTACAGTTCTCTGCTAGGTTGTTGCACAAGGTGCACTTCTGATATGCTGGAAACAGGAATGCTCCTAAACTTCCAAAACCCCTTTTGCTTTTCTGGTTCCGTTTTACACATCCTTACTGTATGGAAACGGAATTGGTTCATTGTCTTGGAAACATTAGATGGCTTTGGTGTAGGGTCTGGCGAATTCAAATGCGGTTTGACAGTCAGGCTTGCCAACGTAGCTTGTTTATGAAGTCTGCCCAAATGTTTAGTTGAATATTCATATATTTCATTTCCTCTCTTAATTACCTGTGACCATCAATTCTTGTTTCTAATGTGTTGGAATATAACTTATGAGTTGTCCCACACTAACTAAATAGGGAAAATGTGCCTACTTTATTAGCCTAGTGAGTTATTTCTCCCATCACCAATTGGTTTTGGGATGGAACCTCGCTCAGGTGGCAACTAGGCCTGTCTTCTAAAGTCACCCCTATGGAATTCCCCAAATATGTAAGTCTGACGAAATATATTCACGAGAAGTTGGAGTTTGTATGTCTCTGTACCCAGAGAGTAGTTGTATTTTTTACCATATCTAACTGTATGCTGTCGAGCCCATTCAGTGTTATACTCTTGCATAAGCAGTCAGATTCTTTTCCTTTTATTTCAGACCCCAAATCCGGCGTGGCCGCCACCTTCGCACTTTCTTCCTTCAGTTCCCGAAAGAATGAAAGATCTTTCTTTGAAAACTTGGAACCCAATAGCAGGCTCAGGTCCAGTACCATGGCACCACCCTCCCAGTTTGTCCAGCAGTTCTCATATCCAGTCTAACGTACAACTGGGGAGGTCCTTTGAAATAAATGTATCAGGTGGCACAAATATGTTTCCTGTTTGTGACAGATTATCAGCAGCTTCACCTCAAATAAACCAAGAGTACTCCTATGAAAAATTTGTTAATGGAAAGTTGAGACCTGGTCCTTCTCAGACATTTTGGAGTGAAAGTACAGGTACATATTGTATTTTCTGAGTCTGAAAGAAAAACAGGGATTATCATTACTTGCTAAATTATAGCTTTTTCCTCAGTAAATTTTATTTCTCTGCAGGACCCAATATGAAGGAGCAACCTTATCCCCCTGTAAATGATGTCAAACCAGTTTTTCCAAAGATGGACTTATCTTCGACTCTGAATACGACCATGGCATCTTCTTCAAAGATTCAAGCAGATGATGTCCAGCTTACTTCTTTTCTTTTAGAAGACAGGGCCATTTCAACTCCCATGGGCAAACAGCTCTGCAATCACACTCCAATGGGCTCATGTTGTGAACCTCAAGTATGTAATGGACAGGCCCAAGGAGACCGAAATCAGTTGCATGTTCGGAACCGCCCTCAAATAACTGATGCTGAGCTTCGAAAAATTTCAAGGCAGTATCCTATGGCAGCAGGATTAATGATTTCATTTGTTTGTTAATGATTATGATAAAATGTTTCTTGGAACTTCTCTTTTCTATGTGCTCCCAATTTATAGCGTAAGGGGTTGTTAGTCTGGCATGAAATATCCAGTTTGAACTTGCATCATCGTTGGGCTTCAGTGCCAATGATCTTAAATCCTTGGGCATTTCTGCAATTTGTACATAGATTTCACCTTAGCATCTTCTTAGGTCGAATTCATTTGTTATTCCATTGTTCGAGAAAATGTTAAGTGCTAGCGATGCTGGGCGGATTGGGCGTTTGATCCTGCCAAAAAGGTGTGCAGAGGTCAGAACTTAACTTATGCCTTCGCCATTTCACCCACTTATACCTCTCAACTATTTTGTTGTAAGATGTTCTACATCATGCTGAGTCGCTGAGAAATATGAATTGCTATTTTATAGATCCTGTAACCACACTTGCCTGCATGTATGCCTGCATCTTGCTGGGGCCCATTTATTTCAAAGCAGCCTAGAATTTACAGTTGGAAAGTTATTTCCGATAATGTTATTGTGTTAACGATTGTATGGTTTGTGAGATTGCTAAACCTAGAGTCGCCTTGTTATCTGAGTCAACTTTAATGTCTTGTTGTTAGCTGTGAATGTGCTATAACTAATTGTGGGAATTTTATCTGAGTGGATACTTTGTTGTTCTTTTCAATTCCAGTCTCTCATGGTAACTTGATTTTGCATTATGGTTTATAATTTATAACAGCCTCCTTGTATAATTACAAGGGTAAGGTCTGCGTACAATTGACCCCCCAGACCCCAACCTGTTGGGAATATACTGGGTATGTTGATGTTGATGTTGATGTATGCTTCGAGGTTGCACTTCAGGCCGGTATTACTAGGAGAAAAGTTGAACCTCCAATTAGAATAGCATTAATGAGTCATGTTCATTTATTTAGTCTCATGATAGGCTACAGAACCTTGGAGTTAGATTCAGATTGGCTTTTCCTCCATTTGGGGCTTATTAATTTTCCTGAATATTGATTCTTCTTGATTTATGTTCGCATGAGAAAGAAAACTCAGGAAACAAAAAGATGTTCGTATTTTGTGTGTATATCCTGGCTATTCACATTTTAGTTTGGAAAGGGTTATAAATTTTCTTAGGGACAAGAAGTAGGAAAATATAATTTTCATTATTTCTTGATAGAATTTATGGAACTTACAGATCTGCATTGATCTAACCTTTTGTATAGATTCCTTGTGACGAAGTTTTTTATTCATGATGGGGCAGGCATTTTTTCCGTGCATATCACAGGCAGAAGGAACTCCTATAAAGATACAAGATATGAATGGAAAGGAATGGGTATTACAATTTCGTTTTTGGTCCAATAATCACAGCAGAATGTATGTTCTGGAAGGAATTACGCCTTGCATACAGTCTATGCAACTGAAAGCTGGTGATGTAGGTAATCCTTCAGCACCACTAAATGCATTTCTTATGATTCAACATATATCATTTTACTAGCTGTACTTAGTGGCCTTGAAGTACCACTCTCCTGTTTCTCTACCATCATGTTCACCAATGTATCTCCCGGTTGGCTCCGCTGTTTCAATTGACGTGTCTTTTAATTTTTATTCCTCTTATCATTTTTGCTATTCAAGTATTCTACGTATGTATTCATCTGGAGTGTTTGGGCACATTGTCTTCAAAGTGAATTCATTTCTTTCTTCTTCATGTCTTTTTATTTTTGAATTATAAAGTGATCTGAGGATATTTTTGTCAGTGACATTTAGTTGGCTGGAGCCTGACGGGAAATTGGTCATAGGTGGCAGAAAAGTTTCAGTTATTCAGTCTTCAGATCAGGTTTGTCCACAATATTACATAGTAGTTTTGTGTCTTTATTTAAAAAATGGAAAGTCATTGGAAAGGATTGCTTTGAATCTGGTATGAGTATTTTATATTATTTTGATGGATAGATGGAAGAGTTTCTGTACTTCCATGCCGATTATTTTTATATTCTTATAAAGGCACAAGAAAACCGTGGGGCTTGGTGGTCTAGCTGATATTAGTATGTGATATTTTCATCTATAAAATATTTAACCTGCCCCCATTTTGGTTTCTAGCATGTCTAAGATAATTGCCACTTTATGATTCCACCACTAAACAAATGTGCTAGTACATCTTATGATTTAAGGAAGTTTATTGATCATGGTGAGCCCTTTTACAGGACAGAGGAGTGTACGCCTTTTCAGGATATAAGTTGAAAGTTTAATTGCCCCAATTTCGGTTTATAGCATGTTTAAAATAATTGCCACTCATGATTTCCATCACCAAGCAAATGTGCCAATTCATTAGTCAATATTTTAAGGAAATTAGTGATGAATTGACGGTGAGTCCTTTTAAAGGAAGAGGAGTATATTCCTTCTCAGGATATTAGCTGGGAGCCTTTGTTAGACGTGTGTGTAATTGATGGATTGATAGGCAAGTCATATCACAACCTTTCTGGTGACCACTTAGTATCTTTATATGGGAGGAGTATATGTTGATTCGTCTTCATTTTTTAAGAAAATAATCTTTTCATTTGATTATAACGACACTGTTTTCGAAATGCATTCTTGTTTTCTTACCCAGGTATCTTCATGCTTATGATACGACTAAATCACTTTAGTAATTAGGTTTGAAGCTGAGTTCAATTTGAACTCTGAAACACTCTTCGCAGTAATGTAGTTGTGTTCGCAGGTAGATGGAGTCACTATTGTTGGTGCGAATGCTTCAAATTCCCGCGAGGATAGTGCTGGGAATAAGTTTGGAGATGCTATATCCATAACCAGCAACCTTGAAGGTAAATCTTTAGATATCATTAGCTGATAGGATAGAATGCCACGTTATCTAGGAATTAATAAATCTTGCTTTAATTGCAGAGAAAATCGTTGAGGATAAACCCATCATTCCTAGTAAGAGGAAGAATGGCAGCTTCCGTGCTAAAAGTAAACGCCGTAAGATTGAAACACTGGATTTGATAGAACTGAAGCTCACTTGGAAAGAAGCTCAAGGGTTAATGCGCCCTCCTGCAAATATTGTTCCCTCAGTTGTTGTTGTGGAAGGGTGTGAGTTCGAAGAATTCGAGGTAATTGCTATTATTTATGTGGATAGGTTTGTATGTTATTGTTGCTATTGCTTCTAGTGCATCTTTCCCCATTACTCTGGATCTGAGATTTTGTTGAGCTATCATTATGATTGATAATGTAGAATGGCGAAGTTCCATATTCTTCTGTAATCCCTTCTTATTTGATTATTTCTTTTAGGAAGCTGGTCCAGTTATTGGGAGGCCTACTATTCCAGGGGGAGATCTTGCAGGGTATGTTGCTTTGTTTTTTTGGTGATTCTTTCTTTGAGGTTGGTTGGATTTAAGGGACTTTGCTGGGGAGGAATACTGACATTAAGTTATTTTATTTCGAAGTTTAAAGACTCAGTGGGTTCAGTGTGAGGACTGCTTTAAGTGGCGTAAAGTGCCTGCAGATGCTTTTCTTCCTTCCAGATGGATCTGTGCAGATAATGTGTGGGACCCTGACCGGTATGCATATATATACACCTTTTGTTCAGGTTTTTTTTTTTGCATTTGTTCTATTCCTACACATTATTGTGGGTTCTTTTTTTCCCAAAAAAAAAAAAAGGATAATGTTTGCAATCTTAATTCTGGACAAATCCTTATTATTTCTTTGCAGTTTGTGATAATATTTTAATTTTCCTACTCTTATGCTTGTTCTGGGAACCATAGTCGATTACTCTATCGGCTGCGAAATTCTTGGGCTAATTTGTTATGGCCTTGAAGTATTTTATGAGAGTTAATTTTGTAAAACACGTATCTATCAGCTGAAAATGTACTGTACCTATAAAATCTGACAAAGCCAGCCTGTTTCTGTTGGGGATTCTGGACAAGTTTTTTTTTTTTCTTTTTCTTTTTCTTTTTTTTGGGGGATTGTGGTGATATTCAGTTTATCAACAATGCATTTTAAGTTGCTGACTGTTTTAGTTCTTCCACGAGAAGTTTCTGATTTTTTAAACTACAAGATATGTTTGTCTTTGGATCCAGAGCAGAGTTCTGAAACTATCGTTAAATTTTGAGTAATTCAGAGGCTAATTTTCTGTTCCTCTCTGCACTAGATCACAGTGTTCTTCTGCCGAGGAGTTGACAAATGAACTACTCGAACATATGCTATCCACGACAAACAAAGGTCAATGCTTTGTCTTTCAGTATTACTAGTTACTGTCATCTGATTACTTAGACTACTCAAAATTTAGCCATGTTACATAAATTCAATTATCTTGTAAACTTACCAAGAAAAAAAAAAACCTTCCACATTTGTTTCCGTTTCTTTATTTTTCCCAAATAACTTATTCCAATTGTTATGCAGATTCTTCTGGGAAAGATGAAATCACCGAAAGTGGTACAAATCTGCCAGCTGCCGAGCAAGGACTTCATGCACTGGCTAATGTAGCCATCAACGAGGAAACAGATTGCTTTCCAGCCTCGTCCGAGAATACCACAAAACACCCACGTCACAAACCCGGTTGCTTGTGCATCGTTTGCCTTCAACCCCCGAGCGGAAAACGCTCCAAACATGCCCAATCCTGTGAGTGCATCATCTGCGGCTACTTAAAGCGCCGTTGTAAAACCCTAATGGAGAAACGCGAGAGAAAACAACCTGAGAAAGAAGAAGCCGAAACATCATCTGAGAACTTACTTGAAAAGGCACCTCACAATCTTGATCCCAGTATCTTAAATCATTGTGAGATGAGCAAAAGGGGTAACTTTGACGAGCCTAATGTTGGGAAGTGTGGTTCAAAACAACTGGAGAAAGAAGCAGAAATATCAATCCAAAACTTATTTGAAAATGATCACAATCTTGATTACCCTTTCCCAAATCATGGTGAGATGGGCAATGGGGGTAATTTTGATGAACCCAGTGTTGGCAAAGGTCAAATAGACCTTAATATACAGCCGGACAAAGAGGAGGAATTATCGCCTGGTATGGTCTCGGGTGGTCCCATGAAATGCCCTCTGTCTGGAAGCAATTGCAGATTCATACTCTTTCAGTAAGGTACTGTTATAGAGTCCTACTTTTGGAAGATGGCAGAGTCGAAATTTTGTTTAGCCTATCGTCTGCTTTGCCTTTGGTACATCTGTAAAAGCTGTACATATATTAGGTGAAGGTAGGAATTTCATGGCGGCACAAAACTAGTTGAACCAATTCTTTTTTTTGCATGGTAATGGTCGAATGCATTGTGTTTTGGGATTTGAAGAACCTGTGTAAGATATTGCAGCTGGTATGTAATTTTATTCTGTTTCAACGGAGCTTATTTTGTGTTAGTAATATAAGGAAGCTATGATTCTTTGCTTGGGTACTTTGAAAAGTGACTAGGAATTAGGAGTTGGTCTTTATTCACCCACATATGATCGAACTGAACGAATGGAGTTTGGACATTTCGAGCCCGTGTTTATTTATGTTCGAACACTGTTCATGTTCGTTCTTTTATTTTTTGAATGAAGATTCGTGTTCAAGCTCGTTGTTTAAAATTCGAGTTCGTTCGTGTGCGAAAAAGTTAGGAAACAAACTTTATAAAATTTTTTGATTAACTCAAAAAAATTTCTTTATTTTAGTTCGAGCTTGGAAAAAAATATTATGTTTTAGATTTTTCATTAAAAAATGTCGTACAAGTATACAAAAATAAAATAAAATACTTTAATGTTTGCAAATATTATCGAATCTTCGAGTTCGTGTTAGATTATTAAAAAAGTATATTTTTTTTGTTCGCTTGATTAGCAAACGAGGAATTCTCGGTTCTTTACGACCCTACATATATGAAATAATTGTTATATATCTTTACAACCCTACATATATGAAATAATTGTTAATAAAAGTATTGACTAAATAGTAGCAATTTCTGTAATACTATAAAAAGTCAATATCTTTTCCTATTTGATTTTTATAATTTATAAACACTAATAATATTTAAAACTGGCTTTGTTGGTCTGCAGGGTTAATGCATCCCTTGAATCTTTGAAATGGTTAGTCAATTATCAATTATGTGTACAAAATCAGCATGTCTAACAGTTAGTCAATTATATTACAGTATATTTTTATATTGAAATGTCATATCTTCAAACACAACATAAAACAAACATAATCATGCATTTTTATTCGTAAATTATGACGTGTTGATAAGCTGGTTAGACTGACTTGTATAGTTAAGTTGACTCATATAATTTTTTATTTTATTATTATTATTAATTTTATTTTCCATATCCCTAATTTTAAGTTTTTTTTTTGGTACATATACCTTCTGATTTCTAGATCCACATGAGAACCGACTAATCCGAAATCGAGTCGGGTAGGATCCACAGGGGAACCGACTAATCCGCAAAGCTCTCCCTAATTTTAAGTTTGAATTAATCCACTGTATAATTTCTATTGCATAATTATCAACTGTCCTCACTTGCCATATATGAGTGAATCAAGGTCCATCAATGGTTTGCCTTCTCCATTTGTGGTAAATTTTCCCCTTCTCTGTTTCCATTATATCACACAAAGGGAAGATGATGATGATGATGATACATCCTCCCAAAACCCTTTATTCATGACAGGGTAAAAAATCTATTCACAAGACAAGAAAACTTCAATTTTCTTGTCCCCCATCAAGAAATTTACCCCCACAACACAAAAATAGAACCAAAAAGAAAAAAAAAAAGAAAAATCCTATGGACCGTGGCGCATTCGACGGCTCGTTCAAGATTTACGTGGAGGATCCCCGAAAACCGGGCCCCGACATCGAAACGGGCCGCATGGGGCCCGGCCCGTACGGTATGGAGATGTTCGCCAAGGAAGTGGACAATGTGAAGGAGGACATGAAGAGCATGGATAAGCTGTACGGTCAGGTGCACGAGTCGAACGAGGACATAAAAGTCGCGCAGAATGCGGCCGCCATGCGGGAGCTTAGAGACGAGGTCAACACCGACCTTGACCACGTCATCAAGCTCGCAAAGCAGATCAACAAAAAGTACGATGGGCTTGTCCGGGCCAATGCGGCCCAGAGGAGGGTCGCGGGAAGCGGGCCGGGCTCGTCCGACGATAATACTCGGGCCAAAATGATTTCGGAGCTCGGTGACAATATCAAGCAAACGATGCGAAGGTTCCAAGGGCTCAGGGTGCAGATGGAGACCGACCACCGGCAACTCATCGAGAGCAGGTAAAAAGAAAAAAAAAAGATTCACCGGATCAAGCAACTCAGTAGCTCGACTCGTTTATCAAGCTATTGAAATATTTATTCGTCTCGTCATTAGCCCAACTCAGCTCGAATAATAACACTATAACGACTAACAAGCTAATCAAGCGACTCACTCGATTTAACGAGTCGAGATCAAGCTATCAAAATATTCGTTTGTACCAAACACCATCGAGTGCACTCAGCTCCAATAACAATCCTATAATTAGCTTATTCTAGGCTATAGCATTCTCGTCCTGTAGTCTCCTTCTGAATTCAGTTGTTTCAGTAGGGGAATTAGCCACTTGTAATTATATGTTTATTAATAGAATATATCGTTTAGGAAAAAAAAAAAAAATTCTTAATTGACAATATATCACCAACAACAGTGTATGAACA